CCCCCCCCCCCCCCAAACTCTGACAAAACTTACTTGGCAAGGAAATGAGTGATTCCAAACTCAGGCAGAGACTGCCACGCCTGGATGAAGCGCATCTTAGCCTCGATGAGACTCATCTGGGCCACATTCTGGTGGGCTTCGAGGATCCGGGCTGAAATCTGACAAATACACACACATGACTTTTCACCGCAAACACTAACACACTCTCAACTGTAAACAAATGCATCCCGTCACCACACTTCAACCACCTGATGCACCCACAATTACACACACACACACAGAGCCAATGCGTAAACAAGCTGTGGCTAACTCCATAAAGCCATCAGCACACACAGGGTCAGCCAATAACCAGAGAGCTGTCACAGTAAAAGTCTATTTCACACAGCACAGACAAACTAATATAAAACCTATGAGACCCCTAGGAGCCAACTACAGTTAATGAGACAAGGGAAGCTTCCAATCTGTGTGAGTGTGCATGCACGTGTGTGTTCCCCTACCGACCCTAAATCCTTTGTTTTCCAAAATGTTATTAGCTAATTCAACCGGAAGAGCAGTGTAACATCCAGAGTGACCCACTGTCTAAGATGAGCATACTCTTTGTATAATTACTTCTGACCATTTTCTAAAGCATATTTAAGAGTTATAAATGTTTTATAAAAGGTTTTAGTTGATGTAGTTCAGTATGAAAATGAGCTAATAGAGACTTTTTCTGACATTTTCTGATATAAGTAATCCATCACAGTGAACCTAATTTTTCCAACCCCCCTACTAATTAATACTGTATTCTTGAACTACATTGGAAACATCTAATTTATAGGCAAGGCAAAGCAGTTATAAACCACGTTTCATACACAAAGGTAGATTCAAGCTGCTGATTTGCTGCTAATGTGAAAACAAAAACAAATATGGGTGTCAGGAATTAATCAATGAGGCTGATCATTTCTTTGCTGTTTGGAAGCGATTTAGGGCTTGCTGCAGCTTCTTGTAAGCACTTAAAAGCATCAGAACAAAAATGATTCAGCAGTCACTGTTCACCTGCATAACAATAAAATGCCTTCAAAAATAAATTTGTTTTACTGTGATGGACTACTTTGAGCAAGTTTCTAGTGTCTGCTTTTCATATTATACAGACAGAAAAGCAAAACACATTATACAAAAACACATTAAAGCTGCTTTCAATCTATAAACATGTGGTTTGCTGAATGAAAAAAGGTTGGCATCAGTGTTAAGTATATGGAACTTGTGTTAAATGGGCTAAAACATGCAGAAACACCTGCATGGTCCATTTATTTTAGTGTAGTGTTGTAGGTTTTGTTCCCAACGGTAAGGTAAAGAAACATACATAACACAGATGCCCAAATGTATCATTTTCATGTCTTATAGCACCCTGAAAACATTACAGCTAATGACACATAACAAACATAAACGAACAAGAAGGATTTGATCTATTCTACTGGGACGATCAGGCACCGTGACTATGATGTTGTACAGCTGCACTACTGTTAGGTGAGGCGACTCAGACACACAAAGTGTTCAAGTTTATACATTCATGCACATACATATGTCTAATATCTAAGGCTTAAAGTCACCCAGTGGACACATAACTCAACTTACCAAGTCCCTGATATAGCCTGGCTGAAGATGAGAGGTTGGGATGGGAGAGGGAATGAAGGAGATGCATACAAGAAGAAAGAAAAGAAAGAAAGATTGGACAAAGAGAACAAGCAAGTGAGATTAATGTCGAGGGAGGAGAGATCCCAAACAACAAAGTAGGAGGCCATAATTGTAATAAAAGAAACAAAGTGGGGGAGAGGCATGTTGGAGTCTGGGGGGAAGGGGGTCATGCAGTGTTCAGCCTCAAGAGGGAGAGAGGGTACAGCACTGTAATTTATAAGAGAAAAGAGGGAGGTTACACTACATTTGTATGGTTTCAAATGAAGGAAGTGGGCACTGAAACTGTACACTTCAGCTCTAGATAGTGTCTGTTACAGGGCTTCACAAAGGGTTATTAAAATAATAACAGCTTCTCTGTAATCCCCCTTTCATCCACAAGATGGTGGTATATACCAAGTGGCCTCAAAGTCAGGGAGTGTCATATCTCCAGTTTATCATTGTGGATGTAATGTTTGCTTCCTCTTATGTAAAAGCATAGATTTAGCCAGAGACCACTACGGTTCAAGTAATCTAAAAATTCCTGTGTCTGTATCCGCTGGGAGCTGCAGCACGGAAGTCTCCTCCGGCCAGTATCGCAACAGGAAGTCCAATTTAAGGGAGATGGGGAGGGGTCGCAGCTGACTCAGAGCGAACAGGCTTTTCCCAGACAGTTTTCCCGCGCAGCATTCCCAGGCACGGCTCATTTCCTGATGCACCACGCCCACTACACATGTGTGTGTACAAACACATACACATACTGTACATAACGCCACTACTCTTTCATGTTGCGCCTAGGGATAGCCCCCTATCAGACTGGAATTGGGAGTGAGACTGGAGCTGGACCAGAAAGAACCACAACCCCAGACAGACACACACTCTGCCAGGCTAATACTCCTCAAAAGTCTAAGTCCTGCCCCCTGTTCAAGCTAGCCTCTATTTCAGGCAATGAATTTATGCCACAGAAGGTTTTTTTCATTTGTCTTTCTAAAAAACAACTGTAACATGATACAGGACTTTTCTGTCAATGTTCTTAATAAAATGGGTCAGTGAACTGTGACATCTGAGCAACTTGATCATCAGGATTTTAAATAATATTAAAAAAACAATTATCATCATTCAATAACTACAGCTCCCCTGAGGTTTGGATAGCACACATGTGGTTTATGGGATATAAATGCTAGCAAAATAATTATTGTTTCATCTTGAATGAAATGATGAGCTGCTTAAATATCACCAGCAGAGTATTTTAGTGCAGAATATGTTAAGAAAACCTCAGTATCTTGTGTAAGCTTTCCAGGAAAACCAATGAAAGAAAGCTTCTACGTCAAAGACTTGTACATAGAGATTTAAACACTAGTGAAACAGAAGCTAACCAAGAAGCAGACCGGGAATTCTTATCTTTCAAACCAACACAATGACGTAGGTTAAACCAAGAGGATGACTGATATCAGTGGGTCAACCTGCATCGTTTGACCTGGATTTGTGACTCTTTCTTCACTTGAACATGGATTGGTCACTCCTTGAGTTTAAAGCACAGGATTTTCTATTAGAGATACTTCAAGAGTTAATTTCATGTTACTGACCGCAACAATATTTAAGGGATTTCCTGGCTAGTGAGAAAGTGAGACACAGAAAGAGAGAACTGAAACTTAATTTGGTGCTTCTGTAATTTGGGGCTGATTCTAATTTTTGTACGGAAATACAGTTTCTGAACAGTGATGTCCAGCGCTGAACCTGTGACAGAAGTCTCGTAATGAGGCACAAGTTCGGAACAACCACTTCATACTTAAGTTTCCTCTGTTAAAGGAGAATCAAAGAGACGCAGAACAAGCCTGGTTTGTATTATGACCCACAAGAAGAACTTTCTGATCTTTCTGTCCCACCCTACCTCTCTCTTTCTCTCTCTAGACATCCAGCATATTTCTGTATATGGCCCAGACCATTTCTGAGTCATCACTTACTGTTCCAACACCCTCCTAACATCCCTCCAACCCCCTAGCAACATTCTACTTTTTTACTACAACTTTAGCAATTGAGTGAGTAAGCTAAAGAGCAGCACCCCACCCCCCACCCTTCCCTCACCCTTCCCTCACCCATCCCCAACTAACACAGCTATGGCAGCCGTGTACTCAGCTGTTCCATTGTACACACACCAGCCTGCAAATCTGCTGGGCACATTGTGGACTTCTCCAAGAAAGTTTGCAAGAAGGTTAATTCATTCTTAGTGCTTAAATATTACACCTGGTTATTAAGATGTTTGCTGATGACGTGCTACTGTCGCTCCATAATGCTGTGTTTGGATAATTTCTTGCTAATGTTACATAATTAACTGAGCACCTACAGGTTAAGTGACAGAGATATCAACTCTCTTTGTCTACAAGCACAAAGGCCAAGAGCAGGAAAGGTATCCATTACTGTCCGACATAAGCAACTCTACTGTACGCATGCGGAGTGGTTTGGACGTCTGCTGTCCTGGTTTCCCCTCGGACAGAGGGGAGTGGGGAGAAGGAAGAGAGAAGAGGAGGAGAGTAAAGGAGGGGGAGTAGAGGGAGGCTACATTCCAATGCAAGACAAGCCTGATGCCAGGAGGCGCCCATCTGGGAAGCATCAGACCCTGCTCCATCTAACTCCACAACCGACTCATCAAACAAGTAAACACACTCTTACAGAATACACATTAGACCAGATAGTTACCTTGTTGATTCTCTCTCTTTGTTAACTACACTCTTTACCCTCCATGCTGCTGCTGCAACTACAGCCTACAGTGCATTCAGAGGTTGTATGTTTAGGCTCGTATAGAAAGGGCAGCTTTCACAGCTTACCTGCTTGTTCTTGTACTTCTTCAGATAGCGCGGGGACACCAGGCATTCTGGGTTGATATCGGTGGTGATTGGCTCAATGAACTGGGGGTCAGGGTTCATGTGTTGCATCTTGAGGAAGGACAGAATGTTCTGAACCTCCAGGTTGTAAGAGCTGTCGGCCATGGTTTTCCCTTTGGAGGCCAAGCGACACGCAGCCATCCAATGGGCGTACTGTTTCTCCTGGAGAAGAAAGGCAAATTTAAAAACCTGCCAAAAGGACAAGAAATGATCATAAATGTTGCACTAAAACTCGAGTATTACCGTGTCACACCGAAGCCAGATCTCATTCATTCCATCAGCCACAGGGATTAGCAACTTGATGTTGAATTTCTGACCCGAGATGTTAACATCTGGAGTTACCTCACAACCTACACATGGAAGCCAAAGTGCAGAGTGGAACAAGAGGTCAAAGATCATACCCAACACACCGCCACAAAATGACTTCCTTGCAGCAGTAAAATACATCATTAATACTCTTGCATGTACATGAAATAACATCTTTTGTGTGTTTGCACCTCTAAGATTCATTTGGTGAGCAGGTGTCCCATGTGCTTCCTCTTTACTCTTGTAACAGGAAATTGTGATATCCTTGAATGTGCACCAGTACTGCTTATAGCCCTTCAGTGTCAGTTTCTTGGGTCTGGAAAATATATAACAGACAGAGGGAGACATGTCAGACTTGGGAGATGGGAAAAACACCCATTTTCTTTATTAGTGGTCAAGAGGGAGAGCGGGGGAGGGGAGATCATAAGTGAGTACAAAGGACAGAAAAAGAAAAATAGGGAGAGCTTTTCAAGTGCAAAGTCAGCAAGGTGAACAGAAAGGGAGCCAGTATTGGACGTGAACATTAATGGAAAACCATTAAAGAGGAAATGCCTCTTGATATCAGCCACCACCCCTCCCCCATATCCCCCATGGTTTATACATTTTATGAGACAACCACCCCTGTGGCCACCTGCCTGTCAGCAAAGGCTTAAAGCCAAAAATGAATATGGTTAAAAATATGCTTGGTCCAACTGTAATCACTTTCAAAAGCTAAACTGAAGGCTCAGCCTGCAAATGTCTTTTGGCAAACAATGCAGCCTATTAAACTGATTCAAACCAGACAACAGCGCTCTTATTTAGCCAATAACTTTTATTTCTTCTGGTTATTATTTTTTCTGGGTCTTTGATAGACTCAGCATCTTTTGGACAAATCTTTGCACGCACTTATATGCAGCTGTTAGCACTTTGATAACAGTGTAAGTGCATGTGGTCGCTCTGAATGTGGACTTACTTGAAGACTTTGACATAGTCTGCTAGCTCAGGAATAGATGTGATGTCACCCTAAGAGAAAGGTAAAAACCTATTGTTAGTATAAACATGGACAATTTGAATATAAAAACAATAAGAACATGATTAAACATAACCAAAACAATGTCATCGGGCTCAACTTTGTACATTTTCAATGTCATTGCTCAGTAGAGTATGCTAAAAACAACACTTCTTTTTGCAGTATCTTAAAGCTGAGTTTCCTCTGATAAGCTGTATAAACTTAGCAAGTTCTTAGGGAGGGACTGCTGTAATAATGGACACATAACCCACGCATTGTTTGGTTTGTTTAAACGTCACATATCTCATACCCCGGCCTTTTGTCAGATGCAGGCCTCATAAATAACTGTGAAATTTTGCACTTCCAGTGAGATTCATTGTGATTTCCCCTCCCCTGGGTCAGTGTACAGTGTCTATGTAGGTTTCCGCTCGCGTTTAATACCACTGATGAAAGGAGACATCATCAGAATACAGTGGAGAAACAAAGGACCAAACACACTGCCAAGCCACTACAATTTGGAAAATAAATTCATGTAATGGTGGATGAAAAAAAACTTGGACAGAGAATGTAGTCCATAACCAAACAGTATTTCCTGTAGTAAACATGAAACTATGGCAATGTTGTCATACCAGTGTGTTGGACGTCTTCCCTCCCTCCAAAGTAATCTCCAGGTCTGACAGGGCTGCATCCACCTCATCCACCTCCTTCTCACTGTTGTTCATGTGGTTGTCTGAAGACATGATCGACAGCTTGTTGATGTGGTACTGAGGAAAAGAAGAGAGTGTTACAGTTAGGCCCATTACTAAATCATTTTGAGTACTTTATTGTTCTGTGTAAATCAGGGTTTCCACATATTTTAGTGACATTACACCTTTAATATGTGCACCTAAAGCCAGGCTCCGACTACAGGACTTTAAAAATCAGGTTGCATCCTTCACATAAGGAAATATTTCAAAGATGTTCTTCTCTCTAATCTCAAACACATACAAAATACAAGCTGGAAGAAGGAAGTAATATTTTGCAGTGAGAAATGAGATGAGTCTGTTAGACTTGTCTCTCTCATTGGCTACTGTGGTCCTGCATAGAAAGTACTTACAGATGTAATCATCCAGATTTTAACTTAAATATTCTATATTATTATATTTTAATTAAATATCAAACATGAATCTTGAATAAATCATCCCAAACCTCCTGTAGTCTGAGCCCGGCCTAAGACAAAAAAAAAAAACCCAGTATGGTAAATGACAATAGGCCCACAACTATAGGAAATATGTGGGACAAGTGACTGTATTGGTCTATAATTTCACTAGAACTCATCAAATGAATCATCCTTATATTTCTCTACTTCTTAGTCCTACATATCAACCAGTTAATACAGAGAATGTTTTTATTTTTTTTTAAAGTATATTTTTTGGGCTTTTATTTCCTTTACGATAGTGACAGCTGAAGACAGACAGGAAAGGAGGCAGAAAGAGAGGGGATGACACGCAGCAAAGGATTCGAACCCTGGGCCGCTGCAGCAAGGACTCAGTCTTGGTACATGGGTCGCCAGCTCTAGCCACTGAGCTATCCGGGTGCCCATACAGAGAAATTTAAGAATGTTTGTCTCAATATCCACAGACACACATGTACAGTATGCACTCACACTTTCACACCAGAGGTTTCTGTGGATAAGGTTTCAAAGTCTCATCCTCACAGCACCGTTAAAACCTATACTCTGCCCATCACAGAATGTTTCCTTCTACCATATTTGTTAAAGCCTTCCAGGTGAAAGACAACCAGACCTAGAGTTTTACTTAAAGTAAAGGAAGAGGGAGCAGGAAATTTTTTGCTGTTCCAACACCTTTGTCAACGGTTTTGCTGATTTCTATAAAGTTCCCAGCCATGTGTGCTACTGGTGAATAAACCCTCCAACTTTGTCTTATAAAAGTGAATTGGTCTGTGATAATTGCCACATAAATACTTTAAGATGTGTTGGCATTAATGTTAGCTAGTGTTGCCAAACACTTGCATTTAACAGTGAGTTTACCAGTGATGAAACAAGGACTTTTATCTTTGGAGGAGATGAAGATGAGGAGACTAGTTTAAGGATGAGAAGACTGGTGCTGATGATTCACTGACAGAAGTATATGGTACAGTTTGAACATGTTCTCAGCACGTCTTTGAACTGTAACAGGCTCTGAAATATTTTTACTGGGAACATATGTGAATCAGGGCCAACAGAATAGGACGTTCTTGTAAAACTGGCAACACCAATTCATCAGGACGCAGCCATTACTGAAAACCTGACCGTGTTTCCCTGTTAGTGTGAGTCACAGACACTAAATACAACTTGTTGACAAATGGTATTTATAATGTCAACCCATCACCAACCCCCCACCAATATATGAATGAACAGCTGTCGAGAGAGTGAGAGATACAGAGAGTTTGAGAGCGATATGTGAGGCTTTAGCCAGCTAAGGTTACAGAATGTGGGACAAAGGGCTTGCTATGACACTGTATTCCTCTTCCTCTCTGACTTTTAAAAACTGCAACACTGGGGGGGAGGGGCTTGTTTCCTGTTTGTGTTTATGAGTGGCTGAGCCCATGTGTTTATCTGTTCAGGTCAGTCACTTTTCTGGACTCCTGATGATCTCATTTCTGTGTAATGCCAAAGTAAAAATGTCCAGGTCATAGCATGCTAACACAAGCCAGCAACATACTGGATGTGGACAATCATTGCTCTTTATTTAGAACCTGTGTATCCACTCTCACCAGTGAAATCTAAGCCAAAACCCCTGAGCTCATACTACCATACCATCAAACATAGTAGCAGCTACTAAAAGTGCTAACAGACAGGTAGTGACAGAGTCGCCGCCAGTCTAAACATCCAACTCAGATTAGCATCTCTCTCAGGAAGAGTAACAAGAAACCAGTTAAATGTAATTATAACCGCTCTGATGAAACACACCTAACACCTTAGAGTGTAAGAGGGCTTTGAGAGGAATGTGAGCAGGTCTATCAGACAGTGTCTTGCTGGGGGTGGGTGGTCTGAGCTTAGGCACTGGGTCCTGTGGCCCAAGATGCTCTATAATTACCCCGGGGGTGAGGACAGGGTGGCGTCCTCGGGTCTTGGCACAGAGAGTTTATGAGGGTCAGAAATAGCAGGGGCACCACCCCAGACTACAGGGGGCTACCTGAGGGGGCTAACGGGGCTCACATCTGTATATCACTTCCACCGCTCCCTGTTTCTCCTCCTCTTGATCTTCCTTTAAGCTCAAAACTCATTTGTCTGATGCTGCCAGTGGCTCAAACATTCAGGCCAGATCTGCTCTGTATTTCAAGGTTTGCCAAAATTACTTACTCAAATAAAGCTAATAGACATGGTCCAGTATATGAAGATACTTGAAATCCCTTAATACTGAGAGATTGTAATGTTGGAAGAATATAATAAAGGGATTTTCAACAGGTTATTGTATATCAACAAGAACATTTATGAAAATTGGAATGTAATATTTCCACATCACAATTTAAATTTCTTTGTCTGATGACTCTCTTGGCCTGGTTTCCAGGCATTCAAAACCGCACATAGTTCAAGACTGAAGGGTATTAATCGAAATCATTCAAGTTAATTGTAGTTAATTATTCATACAAGATTTAAAAAAAAAAAACCTAAGGGTTCTATGAACTATGAGTCAGAAATAAAGGGAATCGATTGATATTAAAGTATATTGAGAAGCCCAGTGGGATATGTGTGATAATGCCCTCATTAACTCATTCTGCACCAGTGTATAATAGCAAAGTTTTAGTATGCATGTTGCAGCAGAACTGGCAGCCATATGGCTCAGCTCTGGGCTGTAAGCCCATCCAATTCATTAGCTTGCGGTTGAAAAGGCAATGTGCCCATTGCCCAATGAAAAGAGGACTGCAGGCCTTCAAATTTCAGATCCTGACAAAACAATGCTGAAAGAGGAAAATTGAGATCAGGCGCAAACACAGACATACACAAACAGTCTATTTACCTGCAGGGCAGCAAACATCATCATTTCCTCCTCCGTGCACTCAATTTCCTCCAGCAGGATGGCCCACTTGGACTGTTCATAGAGCTGGTTCACTCGGATGGCATCATACTATGGAGAGGTTTGTCACAGAGGTTAACATGCATACAAACAAACAGTGAATAAACACAGACTCACACTCTCTGATATACAAGGGACACAACTAGATATGGGTGATACACTTGTTAGAATTTCTATGTGGTTAATGGCATTATGACTGTTGTCCAGTTACTTTTCATATACTCCACAAAAATACCTGAATCACACTATCTAACCTGCCAGTTTTAGTATCTATGCTTGTTGTGCTCACTAAAGGACACATGGTAAAACTTACTTTTACACAGGTAAAATGATATGTAGCTTTTTGGTACGCCATGTCCTGAACAAATGTCCTCAGGGACTCCATTTGCAAGCTGAAACTGTACAGCTTTGTCTATGGGACGTACCTTAGGGTTGAGGTCAAAGAAACTGTGGTATTTGAACCTCAGCAGCAGCACCTCATTCTCCTTTACATCCTGCTCCATCAGAGACCTGGAGGAGTCCAACCACCTGTACACAAACAATGCATATCAGTTCTTCTGAAACAATCTCTCTGTGGCCTCTTGCAAGTATTTTGATCAGCTGCATGGCCCTAAATATACTGCAATCCCACCACAACATTTCTGGCTATGAGCAGTTGGTTTAGTTAACTAAACCACCAAACCACTAAACAAAGTTCACCTCACCCCTGGTTGATTTTGGCTTTATCCAGAAGTGACTGGGGCTTGTATAGTTTGACCAAGATGTCTGGTGAGGAGATTGGCTGGCTGACAGCGAGGATGCTGGGATTGCCCTCAGAGAGTGGACTGTCCCCAAACCAGGCAGAGGTGGGCGACAGCGGGCTGCCGTCTCTGGAGTCATAGGTGGGGGTCATAGTCTTGCTGTACAAGCCTGGACTGGAGTAGATGCTCCCTGAAAACACACAGTCATCAGTTAGTCCCTTATAGTGCACTTTAGTCCAAAAAGAAAATTATCACATTAAATAAAGGAACAATATTAAATACATAATATTTTATTTAATTGTTGTCTCACACAGACACTAATTTAATGAATACTCCCATTCCAAAGCAACAAGTACACATTCACAAATACTGTACATCAACAAAAACAGCAAATGGGGGGGAAAAAAGGGTGAACACTTTTCAAAAAGCACACACACTTGCAGCCTAGCAAGGCCAGCTAGCGGTCAACAACACCATGTGACTACCAGCCCACACATGAGTGGCTTCAACAATGTCTTCCTGCTGATGGCGGGATGGATGTGGATCAGCATGCAGATGTTGCAGACCATGATCAGGATCACCCATTTACTCACAGTCAAAAAACCTGCAGGAATGCACTGCACACAGCAAACTACTGCACAAGTCGCCACAGAGAGGAGAGGGGGTGCGCAAAGATATGGGAGGATGATGCATGGATTAGAACAAAAACACAAGGTTTGAAAAGAAATCTGCCACTTAATTGTTCATCTAAATCTTCAATGAATAAGGGGTCTATATTATTTAAATACTAATATATCTGTATATATTTTGCTTTGCCTTTTCATTTATTTTGATTCTGAGATTTGGTAGCAAACATAAGCAAGCAACCAAAGTGAAGCTGTTTGCATTTCCTGTTGGCTGGCCTTGTGGGAGTATTTTTGGCCCCATACCCCTCCATTCCCTCTCTCCCTCTGTAGGGCCTAGGTCAAGAAGCAACACTGACTAAACCACTAAATCCCTTCTGAAATCAGGAAGTGGGCTTGGTTTGTGTTTGTGATTGTGCACGTGTCTGTTTGTGTTTGCGAGCTGAGGTCATGAGAACAGGGTGCCATATCCCTTGTGGGGGAGGGTGTTATTCAGTGGTTCTTTCAAGGTTTTCCCCCTAATGCTGAGTTCATCAGGTCAGGGAGAGTACTCCCATCTCCCATAGGGTCTCCTGAGGAATCCCAAATATCTAGAGAGACCGTGTATAAGGTGAAAGCTGGCAGCCCATTAAAAACACAACCAGGCCTTCCCTCCATCCTGTTTACAGACTCCCCAATACAGACGGAAAGATACAAAGAATGTTAACATGACTTGACTCCCTAATACTCCTACACTGGGGATTCATAGAAGGCTTAGATGGATGGAGCTGGACCACCATGTGCTGTTAAGACTAGAAGTAAACCATGAGAGGGCTGTCAATAAATGAAAGTGTCTCTTGTGCATTTGATTTTTACACAAAGCTCCTGTGTGGGTGTGTATGTGGGATTATGGACCAATAAGAATGTCTGGACTTCCATAAAAAAAATTAAAAAAAACAGTAATAATTTGAACATCTCCGTAACCACCAATTTCAAGGGCTAAAAAGTGATAAGCTATCCTACAAAACAGTCAGCAGGCACAGTGAGCAGGCCTGAAGTAGCTGTAAGAAAAAAAGTGAGCTTTGAGCTAATTTCTAATGAGAGGCAAAGCTTTTATCATGTGACCATCCGAATCAGCTGACTTCCTCTGGAGGGGCAGTCAGGTGACTCGGTTGCTAGTCCCAAAGGTTACAGATGTCATGTGACCTCAACACTCCAGCTGTGGAGGGGGCGTGGGGGGTGGAGGGTATGGAGGAGGGTAAGCAGTGCTGAAGAGTGAAGGACAGAGGAAGAGGAAAGCTTACCTTTGACAGGTCCGATGTATATTATCTCAGAGGCTAGGATGAAAAGAGAAAGAGTAAGAGAAAGGAAAGACAGGAAAGAGGTGGAGGGAAGAAGTGGAATGGGAACAAACAACATCAAGTGGACAGATTTAAGATACTGAAAACTCGACAAGGACAGGAGGAAATAGAAGAGGGTAAGGACAAAAGTGGAGAAATACAAGAATGGGGAGATCCGTGGCATTTCCATGGGCACTGCCAACTGCTCGCCTCAGAGTGGATGATGACTCAGTTTACCCTCTTCGCAGAGGGAGATCACCCTGGAATGACTAGTGAGGTTCTGTCGTTTCCATCCACCCATTCATAGCCATCCAACACAGCATGACTGATTGAAAACACAGGCAAGGCGTTGGTCAGCGTGACCCAGCCCTGCATGTATAAACTGCAGCGCAAATATAAAGCTGGCTGTCTGAGGTACATCATTCTCCACGCTGACAGGAAAGATAATTAGATACAACAGGCACGTCGAGATGCAGTGGGCCCAGAGGGACTAGGGTGGACTGGCATCATGGCCAACATCAGTCTCATGTCATGACAACAGCTGAGGATTAGTAACACGATTTTCCTAACAAAATGACCCATTCTGTGGGACACTTGACTTGTGCAGACAGACAGGGGACAAGGAGTTTCCAAAATGGTACATTTAGAGGTTTTGGAAAAGGATTACTAGTCTTTAAGTAGAAATAATTGGTCATGTACTTCACCATCCACCCATGTCATCTGCTTCTGAGGTCAGTGTGGACCTCACTGCACAGTATACATACTCTATTATATGTATCTAACTATTTTCATTATCAATGAATCAATTGATCTATAAAATATAAGAATTGTTATTAAAATATTCAGTTTGCTATCACAGAAGAAAAACAGGCAATATTCACATTTGAGAAGCTAGATTTCATACATCTTTGCCATTTCTTGCTTAAAAAATTACTGATAGACTGATTGATTAATAGACTAATCGCTGCATCTCTAAACATGATAAGAGTAATTCTGAAAGAATTTTCTTTACTTAGTAAAACCATGGTAAACTGCAGTAAGCCATGTTTTATTTACTCTCCATGGTGGTGTAGAGTGTACAGAAGCAGTTAGATACACAAGAGAAAGCTGTGCTTCTGACTGCATCACTGCCTCTCTGCAAAGCCTTGTGATTCCTATCAGGAGACCTGAGCGAAGAGGTCAGCCCTTCTCCACAAGGAACGGAATAACGCCTTACAACTTGGCCATGAAGTATACTCCGTACCATGTGATCTGATAGAGGACACAGGAAGTGTGTGTGCGCGCGCGCACACACACAC